TGCCTACATTAATATTATATGAATAAAATGTAAATTTGAAAATGTATATTAACATTGTATGTTACTTATGTACCTACTTATATATTTATATTAAATAAAGCGAACTGTTAATTTTTTATTTATGGCTTAATTTGTGTTGTCAAAAGTGCAAGTATTCATATTATGAATATAAAATATACTATAGATGTAATATGTAAAATATTATACCTATACTGTAGGTATACTGTATGCCTATATGAATGGGCTAAATCCTTTTTTTCCTATAGATACATCAGTGCACATATTATTATAATTAATAATTATATTATAATTATAATTATATTGGGTTTACACCAATGGTGGCTTTGATTTAACAACAATTTGTTGTCATTTCAACAATTAGATAATAAATTCAAAAGTTAATTTAGCTTTTGTTGATACAAATTGCATAACTATTAATTAGTGTTATTTCTACAACGATCTTCAAATATTAAATTTACACTTTATGGACTATTTTTAACAATTAATAGTTGCTATTTCTACAAGTAACTATAGTAGTTACTAAATTTTTCGAAGTTAATGTGACTGTCATAATAATTTATTTTAACATAGGTTGTTGTCATTTTAACCATATACTACGGTCAATACAAATTAATTAAGTGTTTATTCTACACTTGCTGTTTAAGTGACATGTAAGTGTTGTATCAACACCAAACTCGTCTAAGCTGGAAAATAACGTGCAAATGTGTATAATATTAACAACAATTTGTATTGAATCTACCGCAGTTTTCTATGTGTGCACGCAATGTGTGTAGTCTATCTTTGTATAATGTATCAATTTTCAACTTTTCTGATGAAAAAGCAAATCTAGTTGATATATACTTAAGAGAGAAATTTAGAAATTAAAAATTCACAGTAGTCTTCAAAAGCGTCGGGAAAAACGATGAATAATCAGAAATAAGGGGAATTTTTACACGGAAAAACAGTTTTTGAAAAAATCGATTTTAATATTTTGGTATAACTCAAAAACTAATAGTCACAAATGCTTAAATATTCACCAAATGTTAACCTATATTAGCATTTGTTGGGCATGATAAAATTTCTAAATATTTTGACTCTTTTTTAGCTATTTATATGCATAATAAATGTTCAATGTTTACTCATTTTTTTAAAATTACTGTTGATAAAAAATTATTCACTCAGTCAAAACACTTGAAATTTTAGTACAAAGTTACTCATAAGTTGTTTTAAGTGTAGTTTTAAATAATAGGTTTAGCTTAAATTTATAATAATATTTTATGAGTGTTTGACTAGTTATAATTTTTCGACATTTTTACTATAACGATTTCTCTGAATAAAAAAGCTTTATAGTTTAATACAATGGTTACTTTATACATAGTAAAAATGTATAAAAATAGCAGTTCAAAAATATTAGAGATACTTATGCACGATTTTTCGTTTACAATCACTTAGAGTTCAAATTTTAACAAAATGCATAATCACGAAAATTTTCAAATTATTTTGTGGTAAAAAACTTATAAAATGTTCAATTTGTATAGCTAACGATTGAACATTTAAAACAAGGTAATCAAAAGTATTTCATACTGACTGTACTCAAAAAAATCTAAAAATTACATAAGTTTTTTTAAATACATATATTTTAATTTTTAAGTACATGCCCATTTGGAGAAAATTAAATATTTAATTGATAATAACAATTTTAGTTTTTTTTTTGCAATTTGTAAACATTATTTGTGGATACCTACTTGAGACTTTTAAAGTATATCAAATGAAATGCTTTCGGCAAAAATTAATTCAACCTACTGTTCTAGACATTTCACTAATAGTAAAATAAATTACTTTAATAGTAATAATATCATAAACTATACCTAGGTACTTATATAAAGGTCTACAGACCATCTTTGTTTAAAATCGTTTTTCGTAGGTATACAATGATTCTATATCATTGAATTAAAATTTAACTCATCTATTACAAAGACCCCACAAGACACCTACAGTACAGCAAAGCGGGACCCACTTGGCCAGTTGCCCACCTTTTTCTTGCTTTGCTTATTTCTCACAAAATTTAATTAATGAAATTAATGTGTACGTCACATTCAGTCACCTACACGTAATTCAGTAATCAACCAAATAGTCAATGGTTATTAACATTAATATTGGGTCATTGAGATGAAATTGTTTCATTGTGTATTTTAATTTACAACAATAAGTGACTATCGTAGAAACTGATGTTATTTTGCGATTTTGCCGCTGTTCATCATTGTTTACCTATATAGGTTATATGAGTATATCATTCCCTGCAATTTCCCATACGGTTCATATGGGAAACGCGGTTTCTTATATGAATTACGAATATAAATGTTTTGTGAATACTATTTTTCGTTCGTATACCAAAACGAATCGAGTGAATTATTCGTATACGGATCTTATATTCTTGTTCGTACGAGTTTCTAAATACCTCTCCCACCTGTAGATAGTAAATTACAAGTTACAACCTAACAATAACGTAGCAATACCTAATGTTATAATGATCGGTCACTGATGTAAATGTTCAAATTTCAAGTCTTTATCGTAACATATAGGTATTATAGGTACGTATTCATTTATATAAGGCAAAAGTACATCAAGTGTTTAGTATGATTCAGAAATAAAACAATATTTTCTACAATTCTAATTTCTAATATTAAAAGATGGCAGTTTGAATCAAGTTTTTAGTAAAATGGAAAGTCAACAATTTAAATAGATACCTACAAATTTTACGACCTTTACCACATAATTTATCAATTTAGACTAGAGTGATTCCGTGATAAATGGACTGTGATAAATGGATACGCGACAGAGTCATCACTTATGATTGTATTGTTAGTTGTTACATATAATATATTATAGTAACTATTTAGAAGAGTGAATCGCCACAAATCTCCATTTTCGATGAATATTTACAATGATTAATCAAATTTGCAATGTCAACACAATTGTTAATGTCGAACTTTTTCAGTACGACAGCACCTATATACAAAAACAATATATATATATATATATATAAGTATGCATTTTATGTAGTTTGATATAGCCATTTAGGTAGGTACTAGGTAGTATTTTTATTTGTTTGATAGGCAACTTATTTATGTAATTTATAATAGATAATAATATTTTTTTCCTTATTTTATACCTTTATATTATTATTATTATTATTTATTTAAGATTTTACTGGTTTCAACAAATAAGGTTATTAATCAACATTTTTTTGCAGGTATTTAATATAAATATTTGTTAATATTTACAATAAATAATTAGTTTGTGTTTACATTATATGTTGATTAAGCTAAGTTTGTTTGTTGGATTACATTTTGAGACGAACTTGGTAATTTTTGAAGTTTGCTCTTCGTTGAGAATTTCTTTGATGTTTAGCGGGAAACTAAAAATTGTGCGTGTATTGGTTCATATATGAGAAATTACTTGAATATGTGTTTTATTTTAATGCGTGTTTGACACGTTCTTTATCCCTACGGGCTATATGAGTACATTATATTCAACATTGGAAATTGGAATTCTACACCTAAAAAGTCAGACGGAATAAAAGTCCGGTAAATATTTACAATATTACACACCAAATACACAATAAAAAAATTAAACAATGTATAGAGTAACAATTAAAAACATTAGATAAAATATATGAAAATGCACTCTAAAAAGGTTCACTTAACTCGTTGTTATTAATACTTAAGCAGTTAAGCATATAGGTAATGGGTACCCAATATTTGGACACTGATATTTTTTGGAATTATTTTTTATATTTTTGATTTGCTACTTAATACTTTTAATAGCACAAACTATATGAAACTACAGTAGAACCTCATTAATTCGGAATAATTGGAGCTCTAGGTTGTCCGAAATAATGAAAGTCCGGATTAAACAAAATAATCAAAAATCGTAAATTATAAATTCAAAAAAAAATGTTATCGGATAAAATGTATCATCAAGGGATTGATCTAGTGGCAACCCCATTCTTTTTACAACACTTGTCTCTTTTCCTACATTAAATTTCAAAACAAATTTTCTTACATCATCTTTTTATACTTCGTTTTCGTGTTTATTTTAATCTACGACATAAACTAGCGTAATTTACGTATTATAAACGGCTGTCCGGATTAAACGAAGTCCGGACTAATGAGGTCCGGATTAATGAGGTTTTACTGTATTACTATGACAATTACTATTTTCATATAGTCTATGTTAATAATTAATGCTATAATCTTCGCCTTATCGGCTTCAATCTCAGGTTTTTGTATTTCCAACTCTTTCGATGTAGGTAATTATATAATACTACACGTCTGCACCAGATTTGTATACCTATCTATCCCTCGTGCTATGTTTTTATACATGTAGACAACTGTACAAGAATCAACCGCACACTGTTTTAACCATAGTATTCTACTAAAATCTGTTGAATTTAAAAACGCTAAGAACTTCACAACATTTACAATCGACACAGGCTGAGCATTTTATAGAATACCTAATCAAGGAAATTCTCTTTTAAAATTAATGAATGATAAGTAAAGATTGTCTTTGGTCTTTTATACGCAAAGCTTTTTGTCATTGCTCTGGACTTGAATTTGAGGATTTCATTACATTGGGGTTAGGTACACTAACAGGTAATTATTGCCTATTGCGTAAGTATATTGATTAGGTATGATTTAAAATCAGAAAAAAAATGTAAAGCATTATAAATTCAATGTAGGTACCTACTGTTTAGCTTAGCTGTATTTAAACATTTTAAACACTTAATTTAATTCAAACAGCTCCATAAAATTAAAAATAGAAGAGATAGGACAGATACCTATAAAAGGCTTTAAATTCAAAAAGTTCGGGCACCTATATCACCCTGGAATAAAGTTCTATTACTTTATCCATGGTCCAAAAATCATCACTCTTTTATCAGTTATTCTGTATTTTTATCACAAACTACGATAAAAAACACGAACTTAAGTTATCTTGGTTAGTGATAAAAATTAATATTTTATGAACACTGAGTGTGAGTTTGAACTTCGAGTAGGTGGTAGTTATTAGGTAAATCGTAAATATATATTATAATTCAAAATCTGCTAAATTTCATAAGTCTTTTTCTTATATACACAAAACTATTTATTAAGTTTGGTATTTTTAATCACGTCATGGTAAGTCATTTTTGCAAACATTCGTAGTTCTATCTTATATTTTACAATACTTTGTGTGTATCATTTTTCAGGCTGCTGATCATGAGACGGTATGTCAAAATATGTCAAAAGTTAAAATTAATGAAGATGATGAAGATTCTGGAGACAGTTCTTCATCGGAAAACAGTAGTGGTTAGAATAAAATATTCCTAGAAAAAAAAAAACAATGTTTTATTTAATATATTTTTATTTTTTGAAACATTGTTAGAAACTAGTGAAGATTCTGTAGAAATTGAAGTACCTTTCAAAGTTGGTATGTGGGATTTGAAACAGTGTGATCCAAAACGATGTACTGGAAGAAAATTAATGAGACTAGAACTGATTGACAAACTTGGAATGTCTGCTATGTTTAATGGTATCGTTCTAACACCTGTTGCTACTGAAGTAAAGTAATTGTTTTCATTATTAATTCAATTAATGCTTACATTTAATGCTGTACAGAGTGTTTCAGCTAAGGACAATCAAATTATAGCTAAATATGGTGTGGCCGTAGTGGATTGTTCTTGGGCACGACTTAATGACACTCCATTCCACAAGTTGCAGCATAGAAAAGCTAAAAAAAACTTGCGATTGTTGCCATACCTTGTTGCTGCTAATCCAGTGAATTATGGACACCCTAGTAAGCTATCTTGTGTAGAAGCTTTAGCTGCTGCCATGTACATTGCTGGTTTCAAAGAAATTGGCGATTTGTATATGTCCAAATTTAACTGGGGTCCAACATTTACACGCCTCAATCAAGAATTATTAGATGGCTATGCTAACTGTAAAGATGGGAAAGAAATTGTTGCTTTTCAAAATCAATATTTAGACCAACTGGGTAAAACAATACTTCAAATAATATGCCATTCATACATAAACAGTTTATTTTTAATGGAATTTTTTTAGATAATGATTACCATCATGCCAGTAGCAGTACAGAATCAAGCAGTGAATCTAGTGAGGATGATGAAGAAACAACCTCAAGAAACCGATAGTTTAATATGTCAATATTTTATCATGTCTGAATATTTTCTAAAATAAAGACTGATCAAAATATAAAATATCCTATCTTTATAGTTTATTCTATTGAAAAGAAAAATATTAACTTATTTTTATTGTATATTATATTATGCTATTGCTAATATGTATGTACAAAATATCAAAATCGTAACTTTAAAAGTTAATTTTAACTAAACTGAGTCCTACAAGTTACGAAAACTTGAACTCACTCTGCTATGTACCTAGGCATAAATTAAATCTATGATCTGTACAAATTAAAAATAAATAAATAATAAACTAAGTACTTTTTAAAAATTAAATTAATCATTTCACAATAACTATGTGCAATTATTATAAAATATTCATTTATGTTGTCTTCAACAGTATATTTTGTTCATTTTTGATAAAGAAACAATTCTTCCAAAGAGAGGTATAAGTAAGTGATTCATCATTTAAACATTTTCAGATTTTGTTTTTTTATGTATATTTTACTTCTAGAGCTTAAAAGTTTAAACACGTTACTATATCCTATTTAGTGAGAGAAAAAACCGATTCTGAGCATCACCTCATGGCTCATGTCAATTTGGCATTGAAACCTTTTTCCCTCTCGTATGGAGATGTGCAAAAGTACTGATAATTGTAGGTCTGGGGTGTGTTTTCTTCCTAAATTATAAAAAAAAAATATGGTGATGGTAAATATACAAACTGGCAAAGGCTCCAACAATCAGAACCTAGAGGGCTGACAATATCATACAAAAAAAAAATTATGAACCAACAAAATTGCTCTTTTTAAATAACAGAAAATAGATGTTTGACATAAATAAACAATATACATATGTAATAATATGTCATATAGTATATGTCAATATTGTATAATATCATTAGTAAAAATAGTTTATTATTTACAATTAAAAAAATTACTATCATTTCAACTTGTCTAGGAAGGAAAGCACCCCCAAACGGGTGCTCTTGCAAAATGGGTTGTCTTAGTGGATATAATATTCAGCGATTAACACCATAGTGCTTAAAGGAACATCATACACGCATGTGTTGTCTCTGTCTTACAATCGCACTACATAAATGAACACTAGTTTTTATAGTATGCTTTTCGTTTTGAAATTAATTGAATTGACCTATTGTCAAACTTTCAGGTAAAAATATTACCTGTGTTCTTTAGTTGATTTTTTATGATATTTTTATTTATGAGTAAGCTATGAGTATGAAAAGTAGTAATACTTGAAAATGCTCATAATTCACTTAAAAATTAACGAGACAACTCGGATAATATTTTTACCAGAGAGTTTGATAGTAGGTCTATTCACTCTAATATCAAAACTAAAAGCGCAGTATTGTAATTAGTGAACAACAATTTGCTGTCGTATGTGTGTAAGATGGTGATAGCACATGCGGGTGCGACATCCTCTTAAGAAATTAAACCATCTTGTTAACTATATTTGGAATTATCTTGCTCACTGTATTCAGTAGCATACCCAGGATTTTTAACAAGGTTGGGGGGGGGGGGCTAAATAAAGAAAATTAGACTTTGATATCTATTACCTTAAACTAGGTTGTTATTACTATATCCTGTAACAACTGTAATAATCTTTACAACTGATAATTCTCAAATATTTCTTAAAAACTGTTTTCAGAAATAAAATGGTTTATATTTTGGCTTTTATCATATAGGTTTTATGCCAAAACGGGGCCAATGGATATGCCACTGATTGCATTCATCTGTGTTAATAAGCAAATACTTATGTAAATTTACATTTATATTTTGTAGGTGTATACATAATACAACTATTGACTTTAATAGATTTGCACATAAAGTGAAAACTGAAAAATAAGTTTGAGGAATTGCTTCAACCCAGTCAGACAAGCACGGATGCCAATGGGCACTGCTAACTTTTTTGCACTGTTCACTTAAGCAATATCACAGTAATATATATCAAATAGAATAGTTAGACAAATATTAAAATGATAAAAAAAAGATAATTAACATTATACACTCAAAATAAATCATCCACTAAAGGTAATATTATGTGATTAGTAAAACTGAGTCATTGATAACAAATTAAATTAATCATTAATGCGTACATCTTTTGACTTCTAGAAGTATATAAAAAATTAATTTAATATTTTTATCTAACAAGTATGATAATAAGTGAGTAACCAGAAATGTATCACAATCAATTCAATGAATTTAATTAATTCACTTCTAGATTTTCTATAGAGAAAATTCTACAGTCAATATTCAATAACCCATTACACTTTAAAAAAATACATCCACACAACTTATCCTCAAAAAACAAGAATATTTGTTTTCAAATGATCATACGTTACAATAAAGGTTATTTATAAACAATTCATTACGACCTCAGGCCATCACGGATAGATTTCCAAAATCTTAATTTGCATCATTGTTATAGGTAGTTAGGTGCTTAATTGTAATTACAATTTTAAAGTAAAAATTCTAAAACACATTACATTAGGTTTTCTTTCTGATTCACATTCGTTGTTGTTGTTAAATATTTGGAATTTACTTTCCACACCAATAATTTTCTTGCAAATCTCTAAAAATCTTTTATTTTACAAAAAAATAATTTGACAGTATAACTAAATGAGATGTCTTTCCTTATGCAATCATTTGGTACTATAGAAAACATTATAAACATGTTCACTGTACACTTTAATATAAATAAAGGATAAACAGTACGTCAGTAGACATGATGTAGTATGCAGTATTTTAACAGTTGGAAATAAAATATCAACATTTTTGCATATTAAATTTATACTTTTTAATTGTTTCATAACTATTAACCGTACAGTATATATTTATATAAATACATGCATAAAATTGTATTTGTTATAAAATTATGGATATAGACATTTTAGTTATAATCTAGTTTTAAGGAATAAAAAAAGTGAAACATTTAACATCAGTTAAAAAGTACCATCCACATTCTGGTTAAAACTGATAGTAATAATTAAAATAATTTTACAAATCATTATTATTGCTAATTGGATTTCAAAATAAACAAATAATATAATACAAATTATAATGGTCAACATACAATCGAAAAGCTGATACTAATTATACAGAAAAAAAAAATGTAAACACAAATTTTATGTGAACAGTCATACTTAATCGTCTTAATGTTACAATTACGCTTCATCTTGATCTTCCTTTTCATCATCATCACCTGCTAACTCAGCTTCTTCATCTTCTAATTCTTTCTTAGCAGCCTCTTCAACTTTAGGATCTCTAGAATAGTTTTTAATTGTTAGTAAAAAATAATTAATGAAGAGTTAAGAACTTACTTCTTTATTTTATCTTTGTAAAATTCTATAATATGTTCTTTACGTGTTTGCTGTATAAATGATATAGGTGCAGAGTAATACTGCTCTTTAACATTGGAACCCCAACCAGAGTACTAAAAAGTAAAAAATAGTTTATATACTTTCAGAACATATGAAAATAATATAGAATATACTTACAACAGAAGTATTTTTGTACAATACTTTACCATCCTGTTTGAAAGGAATATACTTTTGTAACAATGCCTTGCCATCAATTTTCCATACAGGAGGATTACCTTTACCAAGCATATCAGTCTTGAGTACAACAAATGCTCCCGACTAAAACATAAATTTTAAACTTAATTCCAGCAAATTAATAATTTAAAAAAAGTATATAAATACAGTGAATTTTTTGGCTGGCTTAGCGTTTGGTCCTTGATTAAGCTCTTCTTCTTCTTCTTCTACATCTTCATCCTCTTCCTCCTCTTCATCATCTTCGTCCTCTTCATCTTCTTCAATTTCTTCATCCTCTTCAAATTCTTCATCATCTTCTGGCTCTTCTTCAGGCTCCACTTTTGCTTTAGCTGCTCTTCCTCGACCTCTAGCTGATGTCGGTACTGGTGCAGGTGTGGGTGTTTTAGTTTTTGATCCTCTATCTTTTTTAGGAAGTATTTCTTCTTCATCTTCATCGTCAGAAACCTTAGGTTTCTTCTTTCTACTGGCAGGTGTACTTTTGGATGGTCGTCCTCGTTTACCAGCAGTCTTGGCCTAATAAATAAATACATTTACTGTTTATTCTATCATATAATACTAACACTAATAATAAAACATACAGCAGCTGTTGGAGCCCATTCATCATCAGAATGATCACCCACTTCTTCCGGCTCATCTACTTCAAATTCATTTTCTGAGTCACCTGCTACAACTTCTTTACTTTTCATCATGACTATAAACATAATTTAAATTAAATTAATTGCAAGCACATAATGTTATGACTAAAGTAGTTAATTGTTTTATATTCAAGACATGTAGACATTATTTGCTTATGCTAATACTAATAGGAATCTCTGATTAAAAATGATTTATTAGTATAAAACTTTAAAAAAGCAAACTGATTTTAAATAGGTATATTTATTGCGCATCATAAGTAAATATATTTCACAAAATGACTAACCTAATCTATATCGGGTACCTATGAGAAGAAAAAAATATATAAAAATCAAATCAATTTAACTTAAGATGTCATAAAAATACAGTTTAGATATTTTTTTCTATATCTATTAAATCCTACTGTACTTGTTATTACTTAGTAATAAAAATTTATTTTTGAAACGTTAAATAATTAGTTATCATAAACATCAGAAATATGAGAGAAATAAGAAGTACCTAGGAAGTCAACTAACTCAAAGAGGCAGACGAATACTTTTTTAACGGACCCAACTCAACAAGTAGGTTCCAGCATTTTTAAGTTAACATAGAATCTAAAAATTAATTAACTATAGATCATAAAAACATTATTAAGTACAATTGTCAATTATCATATTACAGCCATTATTTTCAGCTACCTTATTATATTGCAATAAAAAAATTTATCCAGATTCAAGAATAATTATTTATGTGGGTTAAAAAAAATGTTTTAAACATTTAAATGAGTAAATAGATATATCAATAAAATATTAGAACATATTGTGCCACTATCACACTGATTGCAGTACTAGAGGCAATAGTTATTGACATTAATTTAGATTAATAGTAATTTTATCTTTATATTAACGGTTTTCCCACAAAAACGTAAGTCCTAAATAATAAAGACACAACAGGTTGTTAATTTATATTTATATAGGTATTGAAGGTGTTTCATAAATGTTGTGAATTGCATGTTTTGTGGACTTTTTCCTCAAGACATTATCTATCCTGTTCTCCTTCACAGGCAGAGATCAAATTATTTATTTTAGCTACTCATATTAAACCAAACTCAAATGTTATAACTGGTCAGAACACCTGGTCTACTTTAATTTGGAAACAAGTGTATTGCAGTAAATTTGTGTAGTTACCAATCTGCACGAAATGAACATGCAAAATATCATCAATAAATGGTAGGCAGGTACATACCGAATACAGTATAAAAATAGAATACAAATTAAATGTTATTAAAACAACCGGATTAACACAGCGAACGATAATATTGAAAAAACATGCGTCTTCTATCAGTAGATACAATAATAACATTTGTCCATAATCGTGGTAAAATTTGTGAAGAGCATCAATCCATTCAAAGTTTCGGAAAAAATTATCATTAATCTATAAAACTTTTTGTAGTCATGATTGGTTTACGACGACGGCCACAGTATGGCGTATCGAATTCGCGTGTATTAAATAATAATAATAATATCGCCCAGTTCCATTTCATATTATTTCCATCCTCAAACAATATTTTTGAAAACGTTATCGTTAAGATACACATACACACACACGCGGCGCGCGCATGCGCACACGAGTACCGGTACGCAATACACATAATAGAATACGGAGATTCGGAATTCGGATGTACGTTATGAGGACGGACGCATAGCGGCCATAGGATTTGAAAAAAAAAACCGAGTGAGCGGACCTGCCGACAAGCTGACCGGCGCGATACCGGTCAACATTACTATAAACGGCCACTGTAGTACTCCGAACGGCAGAAGACGGGTGGCCAGCGAACCGAATGCGATATCGTGTGGACGCACCGCGGCCGCAGTCTTCCGGGCGGTTATGGAATTTCGAAGACGTTCGCGCCGAGGAATCACGCGCACGTGGAAATGGCGGAAAACGAGAGCGGACCTTATGCGCTACCGTGACTTACAAAATATCATACTTACGATTTTTGCTTTCTGCGACGGGGAAATTAACCGATGGTAATCAATTATTATCGGCTGCGACTGGTAGACACCCGACGATAATATCAATTGATAAATATATTCTGTTCCCGTGCGACGACGACGGCGGCGATTGATTGTCGGCACGCGGGTGGCGGAAAAGACGCGAGAAACGTAAACGAAATAATAAATACGACGATACAAAACACGGGAAGCGGTTAGTGTTTGGGACGGCCGCGACGCACACAAACGACGGGTTACAGTGATGTGAAATTGTGAACACACAACACAATTTTCAATTACACAACATTTGCACCGGACCGCGCCACTAGTAACGAAGAATGCAAACAAACCGAACGCGGTTAGACGCAGTGCCGCCCGCGGACGCGCGATGCGATCGGTGGATTTCAGACGTTGGTCACACCAATCGTATCGACCATCCCGTACCACGATATGGTACAGACACAACGATACCGTACCACTACCGAAGTACCGCGTTCGTTTGACATGTTGACCATTTTGTTCTGTGATTTGATGGGCGGCGTCTGCGCGTTGCTCGACCGAGTGCCGGAGTGCGCCGTCGCCTATCAAATCCCGGAAGGAACGTGCGGTTACCGTTCGTATTTATCACGTCTGTCCACACTTTTATATACCGTTACCATTAACCGCGCTCGCGGTAAACGTCGATCTTCCGCCGTACCACAACCCTAGTCCCAACGATTCTACCTGCCGAAGTCACCGGGCGGCGGACACATGAATAATAATATCACGGAACAATAATAATAATATCGTCCGACGGGTGACGACCGGCGACGAGCCACTCCTCGGAAAATTACTGCACCAGCGACGCTGTCCGTTCCCTAATCACTATTCAAGTCGCCCTCACACCGCCCCCTCACCATTGTCCGTGATAATAACAAAATATTCTACTGTTCAGCACAAAATAAATATTGTTACAATGTTATTGTGTATTTGTGTCTTGTGACAACTTGAGTAGTTGAGTCCAACGACTCCATTATATACCCTAGTGGGCACTAATAAGTATTAAGTAATAGTGCTATAGTATCGACGGCAGCGCTTGCGTCTCGTTCAAACTGTTGTAAAATAATGTCATTTGTATGTTGTATGTCACAATAGTACCGATCGTCGTTGTAAACACCTGCTTGTGTGTGTTTTTGGTTGAAGACAATATACCGCCGTACGACGTCCATCCGATTTTCGTCCGAAAAACCGATCGGTCATCGATAATCGCGTAGTGTTTTTTTTTTTAAAAATTAATTAACAATTAAACGATCGTGGTAAGTCCACAGCGAAATGGACGATTTCGTGGTATACTATAATGTAGTCTGTAATAATTGTAACCGTCGACGGACGACGATATCTTACTCGACATGTCGTGTCCCGAAAACAAATCGAAGTAATCATCGTCGATGTACTTAACATCGTCGTTGGTCGCGGATCTCCCGGTACTCGGGATTTAATTGGTTATCAAGATGTGTTCAAAATTCAATCCGATCAGTGTTTAATCGAATTTTTGCGATGCATTGCATCAATTATTATGCATGTACTATTCATCACGTTTTCATTATTTGCTCTGGTCTCGGTGCAGAGTTTAAAAAAAAAAATCTCGTTCGTTTTAAAACGCCAATTGTTTTTTGAGAAATACCTACTACGCTATGGCGAGTCCAACAGCTATGCGTTTATGGGATTGTGTTTGGAATACAGTCTGTGTACTGTTGGTGTCAATTAATAATATTCACTTCATGCCTGTAGTATTTTTTTGTTTATTAAATAATCTGATCGAGTCTAATTTATTAACAATGGATCTCAACAAGGTACATTATTTCAATATTTTCTTAAAATGAACCTACAAAAAACAAATGGATAACAAATGTTTCAATTTTAATTTGTCACATTTTTATGAAAAAATTATTGAAGTGTGAAAACCAGAAAAATTGTCTTATGTTTGTGCCTATATATTATCTCCCTAATTCCAGACAAAATTCTAAGTTGTATTAAGTGTTGTTCAGTTATTTTTATATTTTTTAAACAAATAAAAGATAAAATCTAGTATTTCTCTTTCAAAATTAAAAACAGGGTATCATAAGATTTCATGAATCTATATAAAAATAATAATTTTAGCTAGGTTTAGGTATTTTCTTTATTTTTTTCGCTTAAATTTTTATCCATTGAGATCCAACAACCATTATCATTTTGAAAAATAAGTGTGTTTACATTTTAAGTATTGTATTAATTCAAAAAGTTATTATTTTTATAGCATCAATGGATGAAGACTCAATTAGTGTTCATGGATCTACTGCTGATTCCATTGAAGCATTTGATGAACTTCAAGTGCTTGACGAAATCACAGATGAAACCGACAATATTATTGAAGGTGATGACCAATTAGATGAAGAATTTGATACTAGAAGTGAAGCCAGTTCTAGTTCCATTGATGAAACTTCAACAAGAAATAAGATTAAATCTGAAAGATACATAAGAATAGAAAAAGAATCACCTGCTAAAAATAAACCATCCGAAGAATATTTATCTCAACTAAAACTTTTGTTGAAAGAAGCTCGGTTTTTCATTATAAAAAGTAATAATTATGAAAACATTGAGTTGGCTAAAGTTAAAAATTGTTGGTCTACAAGACCGTGGAATGAAACAAAGTTAAATCAAGCTTTCAGAACATGTAAGAATGTAATTTTGATATTTTCAGTTAAAGAAAGTGGTAAATTTGCAGGTAAATACTAACATTTTAATTTATGTTTGATAATTATCATTTTCTTATTCCATCCTTTTGTTCTGATACTTCAGGGTTCGCTAGAATTTCTGAAGCAGCTAGATATGATTTGTCACCGGTTGGTTGGGTACTACTTGGAAGCCGTAATTTATCTGGAGTATTTAAAGTTGACTGGATTACTACAAAAGAGTTAGAATTCAATGATACTTCTCATTTATATAACGCATACAATGAAGGAAAAACTGTCAAAATTGCTCGTGATGGCCAAGAAGTTGATGCTAAGACTGGATTACAATTGTGCTCAATGTTTCTAGAAGACAAATCAATTGATTTTCAGTACATTTTAAAAAAAGCAAAAAATCATCAGCCCTCTATTAGTACAGCCGAATTACGACAACGGCGTAGAGTGCTTGGTTTACCAGATGAAGGACCAACAAGTAAAGAGTATATACATGCTTACCGATTTGGGATACCACATAAACAACCACCAAGGATGTTATCACATCCATATTATGTACGCCCACCTTTGTATCCATCATACCAATATAATTTAAGTGGATCACCAATGGTACAACGTTATTATGACGATGTACCATTGCCACCTTTTCGGCTTCCTATACATGTACCAGAAACATACCCAAGACCGTTAGAAGATTACTATAAAAGAGACAGATTAGTTAATCTCAGAGAATATCATTCGAGTCAAAGACGTGAAAAAGAGCGCCATACTCATAGGCATCGTTATCATTAAAGTTTTTGAAAATACATTCAAAAGATCCTCTTTAGATTACTAATACTGAAATATTAGTATTAAGTTTACTAGTCTTAAAAGTAAATACCTTTTTTTGTTATTATTATTTTTGTATAATTGGAAATTTTATCCTACTATGATATTATGTTGTTTATTTAATTTATTATTATTATAATGATTATAAATGGTTTTAAGTTATTATTCTGTACAAATAAGTGATTGTTAAAACTTATTTTTGCTTTTAGTAATAATCTTTTGTTTTATGATTTTGATCATCTTTGATTTCTCATTTGTAATACTTGATTTTATTTTTATATTTTTCATTGCTACTATAAGTACCAATTTAAAATTTAAAATTCATGTACACATTTGTATTTGGACTGTGTGTTTTTATAAGTATTTGATATTGTAAATATATTTCTCTCTTTAATCTATGTTGAACTTAAATCTTGTTCTTGGCTTTTATTTTGAAAATGAATTAATGACAATTACCTATGTTTTAAGATCCAAGAATATGGAACAATGGTTTAATTTATTTAACAAACAAATAATGTACAGCAAAAAAGTTAAGAAAAAATAGATGCTATAGTTTATTATATAGTATACGTTTAAAACTATTATAATTCAAGTAATTAAATGACAATTATATTTACAATTATTATCACTAAAAATGTGCAAATATTGAAGTTTTTCAGCAGATAAATAAATATTAATCAGATTATTATAATACTTATCATTTTTTAGTTCTAAATGTTTCTTTTGCTCTTTTTATGTCATATTACACAGTCGGTATTAATACTTGATAAAATGTTGTTAATGAAAAAGTAACTTTACTTTTTTTGTCACTTGAAAGTTTCTAAGTAGTATAATAAGATAATAATGAATTATAATTACAAATTTACAGAATTAAATTGAAATTTAAATAGCTAATAATTACTGATTCCTGATTGTGCAACCAACTATGACTTATTGAGACCAGATTCACCCATAAAGATCACCAAGAACCCAGATAGTGATAGGGGCCGCCAATTAATATTTTTGAAGCGCCACATTAGGAATTTGAGTTTTAAAATATTTAATATCTTATAATATATATAATATTATATAATATTTAATAACTTGTTTCAATGAATAATAATACATTGACAGTTTGGTTCATAAATTGAAATTCTGACTTGACTACTGTCATCAATTATTATTATTATCTGTATCTGTGTACTCATCATTTAGACAATTGACAAAATTTAGGTTACGTACTGTAAATTGTAGCAGTGGTGTATTTCGCGTGTATAATAAATTATGTTAATTTGCAGCCTAAATATTTTTATTCGTATTAAAATTACATCTAGGGATATTATTCAAACTTAGCACTGGCAATATAATTGTATTAATATTGGTATGGTTAAATATGTTGGTTTTGCATGTGTATGATTAAAAATTTGTCTGAATATATGATGTCTAATTAATTCCTGCACAAAGACTATGAGCAAATAATTTTTTGATCTTATCTTGTACCCATGTACCAGGCTTCTGCATATTTTCCATCACTTTTTTACTTCTTTTCCCAGACTAAATTTATAAGTATCATGACGTGTATCACTTTCCAGTTTCCTTGTTTTTTTAACATGTCTTGTGGCAAGAGCGTCTATAAGGTAATTTTCAGGGGGGGGGGGGGTAGAGTACAACAAAATTAAACTAGATTCCAAAATCTTTTTATAGCAAATATATACTAGTTTGACATTTTTTGAAAGATAAATATTATGCTACTCCACACTATCAAATTTGGAATTAACGGTGTATAAATTCAAAGCATATTATAATGTATAATTTTTTTTGCATAATTTATTATTTACCGTTCCTCCACAAAAAAAAGGGCTACGTTGTCCTGATGAATTTGCGTACGTTTCAATAACACCCAGGCCGCAATTTACGAAGTTATATTTATCATTTCATAAGCTGTTTGCCTGTTTGGGGATTGACCAATTATTATTATAAAATGGTCAATGTGTATGTGTTTAAGTATCTTTTTCGTGGAATAGGGATCTAAATTGTTAAGATCTCAGCACTATATAGTTGTAGGCTTGTAGCATAGAGTATAGAGTATAGACTACACAACTGAAAAAAATTGTTTTTTTTTATATTTTTATGAAATATAACTAAATAATAAAAGACTATAGGCACCACTAAAAATTGTTAGCGTCCAATATTTAGCCAGTTACGGGTATTTGAAAAATACGCGTGACGTCATAATTTCGCCGCCGCCGTTTACTCTGTACACGGTTTTAAGGGAATATTACAAGTCTCGCTGTTTAAACGCATATAACTCGGCTAATAATAAATTTATTGATTTAGACCCTTATAATAATTTGAAGCTTTAGAACTAAATTTTTAATTTAATATTATTTTCTTGTAAAATTATTAAACGGTTTATTTATAAACGAATGATAAACTTTCTTAGCAATATTTTTGTATTATTAGATTTATTCATTTCTTTACTTACGTACGCCGTTCGTATTCAATATATGAATAATATTATTGTGGTGGTTTATTAGTGTGTATATATGTACAATAAAATATGTTTGAAAATTATTTTTAGACGAATGATTAGTTAATAACATTACTTTATGTGTATTGTATTTACATCAGTAGGTATTATTATTATTAGCTATCAGTAGGACAAGCAGTCGCCAGTCGTCACAAGCACAAGCACAGTACACGCATACAACCTGTATATTTTTTTACTCTAGGTAATATTAAAGTTTTTTTAGTGCTATCAAACTAATTTGTGACATGGCATTACAACCATATAGTTTTGAGCCAACAATCAACGATATTGACAGTAATTTCAATCCGATGCATTTTGCTAACGAAATTTTAAATACAAATTTGTGTATCGAAAACAGATCTATTAAACCAGTGAACGAATGGTGTTTATGTGAGAAGTGTTTAAATTTAAGTACTGATCGCGAGTGCGTTTGTTGTATTGAATTTGAAAATTTACAAAAACTTTATCTAGATAAAAAATGCATTACATTAAATAAATCATTTTCTAAAATTATATTGGATGAAGAAATTTTAAATATTACACGGCAGCAAATGATCGTTAAGACTAAAAATCGAAAGAAACGTAACAACTTATATTGTTATTTATATTACGATAAACATAACATTATACTAAGTTAAACAATACTGTAAATATTATCTACAAACATGTATAAATAATAAATATAGTTACATTTACACAAGAATAATACGGCGCACAACAGTCCTAAAATAGTCTACAGTCGTATAAATAAATGTTTGTTTAGTTTTTAATTGAATCATATGATGAACTTATTATTGTAAAAAACATGCAATAAAAGAAAAATTTGTGAACTTTAAATTATTATAAAGGTCTACATCAATAAATTGAGTATTAGTCGACTTATAAGATATTAAACAGCGAAAGTTGTATTACTCCCGTAAAATCGTATACATAGTAATCGGCGGCGGCGAAATTATGACGTCACACGTATTTTTCAAATGACTGCCGCAGGCTAAATAATAGTTGTAAATATATTTTAATGATATCTCTGTTTTTATTTCCCTTAATACTATATTTTAAAATAGACTTATTTTTTTGAGTGTTATGGTCCTAAAACGTGAAGGGTGAAGTGAAAAATTGTTATCACCAAATCTTATCAGTATCACAGAATGTTCAATAACAATAATATTCACCTATTCTGTGGACACCATGTTCAATGGTATTATGTAAACATTGTAAAGCGATATCACGGAATAATATTACAAAATTGAAAATACAAATTGCAATCAATTTTTAAAATATTTGAATATAATATTATGTCTTATTGTGTTGCAAAATTAATTAAAATTATTAAGAATATTGTGTTATTAGAAAAAAATATTTGATTTACCAATTATTATACTAAAGGCTTTAATAGATTTTTGATATTTTTAATCATTGGGATGAGAGCAGAATTTGTTCATTGAATCTGTCAGTCGGCAGTTATTTTTAAATTGAAAATGTAAATGTTTACATAAATTAGATTTGTTGGAGCTGTTTTATGTAATAATTTAAACAATATTTTATACTTAATTCTTATAAATAATTTCAAATTTGTTTGTTTTTGTTCCTTTCAGTTTGTTAAATATTTAATACCAATACTTACCCCACGATCATGAATATCAGCAATCGCATTGTAGTTACCCCGTTGGGAGCTGGTCAGGATGTTGGACGTAGCTGCATCATAATAACAATTGGTAATCGAAATATTATGCTTGATTGTGGAATGCATATGGGCTATCAAGATGAACGGAAATTTCCTGATTTTTCATATATTACATCTGACGGTAATATTACAGACATAATTGACTGTGTAATAATTTCACATTTTCATTTGGATCATTGTGGTGCATTGTCCTATTTAACCGAACACCTTGGTTATCATGGTCCTATATATATGACACATCCAACAAAAGCAATTGCTCCAATTCTATTAGAAGATATGCGTAAACATTTAGTTGAATATGAAGAAGAAGCGAAATATTTTACATCAAGTGCAATTAGAGATTGTATGAAGAAAGTAACTGCAGTGAATCTACATGAAGTTGTGACTGTTAAAGATGACATAGAACTAAAAGCATATTATGCAGGCCATGTATTGGGAGCTGCCATGTTTTACATTAAAGTTGGAAATGACTCTGTGGTATACACTGGAGACTTTTCCATGACCCCTGACCGCCATTTGGGAGCTGCTTGGATTGACAAATGTCGACCAACATTACTTATAACAGAATCAACATATGCCACAACAATTAGGGATTCAAAGCGATGTAGGGAGCGAGACTTTTTGAAAAATGTGCATGAATGTATAGATCGTGGTGGCAAAGTGTTGATACCAATTTTTGCATTGGGAAGAGCTCAAGAGTTGTGTATTCTTATTGACACTTACTGGGATCGTATGGGTCTTAAAGTTCCCGTTTATTTTGCAGCCGGTTTAACTGAGAAAGCTAATAGTTATTACAAGATGTTTATAACTTGGACAAATCAAAAAGTCAGGCAAACATTTGTTCAACGGAACATGTTTGATTTTAAACACATTAAACCATTTGATAAAACATATATGCATAATCCCGGTCCTATGGTGGTGTTTGCCACGCCTGGTATGTTACATGCTGGCTTATCGTTGAATATATTTAAAAAGTGGGCTCCAGATGAGAAAAACATGTTGATTGTACCAGGTTACTGTGTATCTGGAACTGTTGGAAATAAAGTCTTGAGTGGTTCTAAAAAAATTGAAGCTGAACCAAACAAATTCATTGACGTTAAAATGTCTGTAGAATATTTATCATTTTCAGCTCATGCTGATGGTAAGGGTATCATACAATTAATAAAAAATTGTGAGCCTCAAAATGTGTTATTGGTTCACGGCGAAGAAGAAAAAATGAAATTTCTCAGAGCTAAAATAATGCAAGAATTTAACATCAATTGTTATATGCCTGCTAATGGAGAAACTGTTGAAATTGAAACAGCAAACATACATACATTCAATATGAGTACAAAACTAGTTAAAGAAATATTAGATGATCAGTCAAACAATTTGGGAAATGGGAAGCGCTTGGTCCACGGAGCATTCCTTTTAAAAAATGGTTCCGCTAATTTAAATGCCATGAGTGTGAAAGATACTTTCAAAGAATTGGATATTCAACGACACACCTTAAGGTTTGTGTTCATAAATAATAATTTAATGTTGGGATACTTTTCGGTTATAGTGACTACCAACCAATAGAATACATTAAATTAAGATTATGGGTTGATTTATTTTGAAAAAAAATGTAAAATTAAAATTGGAAACTTTTGGTTTACTCAAACTATTTTGTTATTATAATTAATAAAAATAAACTGAATAATCTCTAAAATTTATAAAGTTTAAATAATAACTAGTTCGTTATCTAAAACAAATCTTTTTTGTTAAACTATTGCTGATTAAATGGTTTTTTTTTTCAGATTTACTTGTACGGTGGAAATTAAAGAATCTTCTACGATCCAAAAAACTAAAACTAAATTATATGATATGCTAGAAAATAATTTACCAATTTTTAAAAACAAACTTACCATGTCCGATGGATCAATATCTTTAGCATCAATTTTAGTGACTGTAGAAGATGGTATGGATAGTAATAAAAAGAAAATTGTAATTTCATGGGCTAATGAAGATGAGCCACTGGGTAATCATGTGCTTGAAATGTTACAAAATATGAGCAAGTCTGATTAATATAAATGTTTGTATTTCTTTTTGAATATCACAATTCAAATAAAGATGATTGAAAATAATTTGTAAATATGTATTTTATTTTTGATGATTTTATTAACACAAAATTAAAAAATAAATAAATAATAGGCACCTAATAATGTTTTATAGTATTCTATGTTCCATTTATCACAGTAAAATAGTTTCTTATATTTAATTATGAGTTTTTAATGTTTCTATAGAAGTTTATAGAAAATCTATTCTAAAAATCTTCCTTACTAACAATGTTAATATCTTCATGTAATATCTCATTCTCTTTAAATATGTCTGTAATATTATGTTCCATCATTTTATCTATTATTGGTGGAATTCTTTGTTCAATTTTTTCTTGCACATCAACTTTATCTAAAAAGTCTTGGATTCTTTTTTTAATAGGGAGTTCCATTGCATCTACTATTTTATTCCTTAAGATATTTGGAAAAATATTGACAAGTGCTTCTGCTAAATAATCAAGTGTACCGGCTCCATCCATACGCAATTGAATATTTCCCACTGATAAACCAAATTCATTTAGAAATGGTGCTAATCTAGTGTCCATTGGCTGAGTTACATTGGCCTCAAGCTGTATATAATCAATTGAAAAACTTAAAACACCTGTGGTTTTTAGTACTCCTGCTGCTCCAATTTTCCACTGACAATGACCTTTAAGTTCCTGAGTTCCTATGTGTATAACTGATATAATTGTTTGATTCTGTATACTTATGTGAATATCTCCTAATCTATATATACTCGATAGGCCCGATATCCATATTTCGTTGACATCCAAACTAAATATATTAAAATTTACTGCGTTTATCATGTCATCCACACGCCATGGATCAAATCCCATTGATTTTATTTGTTGGCGACTCTCAGCTATCAGCAAATCAACAGGTGGTATTGTGTTTGGAAAACGTTTAAAGTGTTTCATTTTTTGATCAAGTTCTTCTTTTATCATTATGTTAATCAGTTTCATAATGATGGGCTTAATAGTTTGAACAACAAAATGTGTAAAACTATTAACAAAACTATCATAAAAAGGTATATTTAATTTATCTGTATCCATATGTAAATTATCATAGTTCATGTTCATATTCAAATTATTAGTTTCCAGATGTCCTGATTCACTTACTTGTAAACTCAAGTGACCATCAATATGTAGTTGTATGAGAGTTACGTTGTAATATCCATCATACATTTTCCAATAAGAATAATTACCTACTACCACTAATGTATCAATTGATATTCCAAATTCTAACTATAAAATAATGTATAATTTAAAAGAATTAGATAACCAAATTCATATAATTTAGTTAATTTATAATTGTACAAACCTGTAAATCAACCAAATTTACATATAATTTTTTAAGTCTGAATTTTGAATGACCTCTCATTGTTGAATTGTGCATACTCCACAAAGGGGTTTCATTATCAGGTATAGGTTCAGGGTCTGAGTATGGTGGTACTATAGCTTCCGGTAATCCTATGGGATCTGGGTTTTGGTAATGTTCTAGAACATTTTTTGTCAACAATGTCAAATTTATTATTCGTTCATCAGCTTCTGTCAGTGAGGGTACATCATCATCAAATGCATAAACTTAAAAAATGAAACAATTAGACATTTTCAACAATGCAGAAAAATTAATGTAAGTTTTATAATAATAATTAGAGAATGGATATTATTGTTCACAATTATCTGAATCAAAAAACAAACTTTTCCAGAATGTATACCAACTTGATTTTTAAATCTACAATTTGGATCATTGTATTTGGCATTTGAATTTTTTAATAGCTATGGCAAGTTTAGTATTAACATTTGTTTTACAACTTTTTTGTTTGTAAAAATTATTTTAATAATATTTGAATGATTTCTTGCCATGTACCCCATAGTGTATAGTGTACATAAGTTTCAGGGGATAAATTAAAATCAGAATATATTTCCTTAAATTTTGAAACATAACTTGATCCTGAATGGATCGAGTATCATCTTATTATTTCTGAAACATGATAAGAACTTATGGTACGTGGTAAATGTAGTAATTTAGGAAAAGTTTTAGTTGCCATTTAGGCAACGTATATGCAAGCCTATTTGGGTTACATTTCTACCAGACATCAGCTTAACAAATGAGGCAGCATTGGTCAAAAATAAAAATGCAATTTTATATTTTACACCTTTTAGCCATAATAAGTTCATAACTTTGTTAAATAACTTAGCAATAGTTTTATGTTATACCACTATTTCTAAAGCAATTTCCATTAGCTGCCATTAATATATGAAATGGCATAAAAATGTAATTAACTTATACCAAATATATAAAATAAAATTGGTCTCACTTCAATTTTAATAATCTAAATTGCACACATTTTTATCAGATTAAAAATATAATCTCATTATAATATGTTCCATTCCCTATATAATTATAATTAATAATGTTTTACTTACATTGACATAGGCATTTGGTATTTAGCATGAAAATAACTGCTAAAATAATATTTGTTTTCATTTTTATGACTGATGTATTATAATTTTTAATTTTACATATTTTATTAATTGTATATAAAAAATAATGTTTCTAGGTTAATAAATTGTTTTACATTAAATTATTATTTTCATAATGTACATTCACCTTTGACCTGAAGCTAACGTATATTTATCATTTCAACCAACTATTTGATAAACATGTGAATAATAATCATCTAAATATTTAATTGTATTGGTTGTATACAATTTAAGCACTCCTTAAATTCCTTGCAAGATCATTTTATTAGGAAATATTAGTAAATAACTGTATTGATTTATATATTATATGTTTAAAGAACCTAGACATTGGAATAAAACAATTTATATTACATAATTTTAGATCTTGAGCTTAATATTATATGTTTTAGGCACAATATTGTTATTAAACATTTTACTATTGACCTATTCAAAATATTACAAATCAGAAGTAACAGATTGATTAATATGTAAACAATAAGTCTTTGGCCTTTGAACTATGATGCATTTATTTATAATTTATAATGTTTAAAGCCATTTACTTTGCCATTAGCTAGATATATCTTAAAAACATTTATTTGTTTTATCAATACTTTGTATAAGTTCAAAGTTGTATAGTGTAATAATACATTTGGTATGAAACCTGAACATTATGTAAATATAACTTTTGAGGTAAGTATGTTTTTATTAAGATTAAAAATGACTTTTATTGATAACCTGTCTCTTGTAAACAATTTTAAATTATCTACATTAGTAACTGTTGTCTGTTAGAAGGTTGAGTTATCATGAATAACAATTCACAACCGAACTCCCACACTGCAGTTAAGATTTCTATGGTGATTATTTTCTTAATAAATGTTACTGGAGGACTGTTGTTTTTAGAGAGTAAGGCGAAGGGTGATGTCTGATCATTAGTTTTTATACCCCAAGGGGCAAGGGTAGATAGACATTTAAAAAACATGTAAAAACCTGCATATAATAAAATATATTTGAAGTATGAGATTACAAACTATTATAAGATTATATTTTAACCACTTTTAAGTCTTAATTGTCAATGAAACAATTTTTTTTTACTAGCTTAATCACCAATCAAAACTTAATAAAATGAATACAGAAAATTATATAAAGATATTTATTTTCCAATAATTGTTAAATAATCAGAAAATAAAAATAGTATTTAATTTTAATAGAAAAACATAATGTGTAAACAATTATTTAGATGTAATACAGAGTATGATCACTGATCAGTGAGTACAGTTAAAAATTATTTATAAAATATACAATTATTATAAAAGTAAAAAATTTAAATTTTTTATAAGATATTCTAATGTTATTAATACATGCTAATTATAATTTTCAAAATTATATATATTTATCAATAGATTTTAATGTTTACAGTAAAATTTTTTATTTAATAAAAACAATAATAAATTAACGTTGACTTTGGCTGTACCAAAAATATCCATTATTGTTGCTCCTTCAAATTGACGTTTTAACAAATCCTTCAATAAATAAAATATATTAATAATTAATAAAGGATTTTAAAACATTAAAATAAATATTATTATAGAAGGGTTTGGGACTTCTTTCATGTTTTTTTTTAAATTATTATAATATTAAATGATTATTGTTTAAATTAATAAATGTCCGAGTTAGGGTAGGTTCAGCAACTATTAATTCCTAAATTGACAATTATTATTCATTTTTAAATTATTTTTGAGGTTTTAACAATTTTATATGCATGTTTTGATAATTTTAATTGCATATTTTAAGGATTTTAGTGCAGTAAGTCCCAAACCCCAATTATGGTTAAAGGACTATTCAATAATGGTCTTGAACTATAACATTAATACAATTTTATTATATGCCATATTACGAGTTATTTACCTGTATATCTATATTGATAGTTTCCATTTCTACTCCCATAAATTTTCCTTTGACTAAAAACACACCATGCATGTCAGTTGGGGAAATTTCAAATTGAGCATTTTTAAACTGCCCATCGGGAAGTCCTTCTACTTCGATTAGTACTCCTTTTTCTCGTAATTTTGCTGCTGTATACCGAATACTTTTCTTAGATTTCAACTGTGTACCTCTATTAGATGATTTTTTTTGTTTTCTGAAGATATAATTTTTAAATTTAATAGCTCAATCTAATTAAATGTAATAAAAATAAAAATATTATTCTTACTTTTGGCCGGTGTTATGTTTATCTAAGCAAGTTTGTATGTACTGTTCATATGATTTTATTTTTTCAACTAAATATTTAATTTTTTCATTTAATCTCTGTTTGGTAGACTTAAACATTTGCAATTCCTGAAATTCAATGTTTAAAATGTATTTATTCCTAGTGGAAACGAACATATTATGTATTTCATACAAACCTTAATTTGGATTTGACGATATTTATTTCGATTACAAATATCTTTAGCCACTGATGTAATTATACCTTGGTATCCATCATCTTTTGACACAATACCTTCCTCTTCTAAGACTTTCAAATGTTTTCTTAATTTTGCTTTAATTTCTTTTAATGTTCCCCTATTCATATTGCA